CTTGAACCTTCAGATGAAGAATTTTTTTTGATATAAAATGGTCCTTATGCTGTCATTTTGTGTTCACATGTATATGTACAGTCTTCTTTTTCTATTACCTGGTTTGAATAAATGAAACTGGTTTAGACACAAATTTAAGAGAAGTTTATGAGATGAAGCCATTTAAAACAGATTATACTAGCTGGAGTACAGGGCCTGATTGTGATAGGAACAGTTGATCATTTGTTGCATAAGGTGTGCCTGTGAGCTTTTCCTTCTGCTGGCCAAGTTTCACAGTTCATCTGTCTTACGGACTTTGCTACCATTTTTGTAATCTAGTGAAGCAATGACATTAGATTTCTTTGATTTGTTGTTGTTGTTTTTTTTAGTATTACTTTGGTGCCATTTTTTGCATTGAAGTATAGTCAATTTACAATGTTGTTTCAATTTCTGGTGTACAGCACAATGTTTCAGTCATATATGTACATATATATTCCTTTTCATATTCTTTTTCATGATAGGTTACTACAAGATATTGAACATAGTTCCCTGTGCTGTACAGTAGAAACTTGTTGTTTATCTGTTTTATATTTGGTAATTAGTATCTCTAAATCTCAAACTTCCAGTTTATCCCTTCCCCCTCCGGTAACCATAATTTTGTTTTCTATGTCTGTGAGTCTGTTTCTGTTTTATAAATAAGTTCGTTTGTCTTTTTTTTAGATTCCACATATAGGCAATATCATATGGTATTTTTCTTTCTCTTTCTGGCTTACTTCACTTAGAATTTTGAGTTTTCCTTAGAACCTACAAAGTACTTAGTCTCCCTTATGAGGAGACCTTCTTTAAGGGAATAGCCTAGATTGTTTTAAAAGAAGTTAAATTTGATCTTAGTTTACAAATTGTTTCGTTCTTTCAACAAGCATTTATTGAGCAATGTGCCAGTGGGCAACTTAAATCTTTCAGGCATACCTTCAGAGAGCAAGAGTGGGTGACTTACTATTTCCATTTTTACCTTCGAGACCAAAAGATTGAAAGCTAAGTTTAGTGCTCAAGTGCAGCAACTCTATTTAACCTAGGTTTCTAGCATACAGTACTCTTTGCCCTTGACAGTTACATTTCTCTTGACCTTTCATCGTTATTTTAACAATCTTATTTTATTATAAACCATCTCACATCCATTTTGGAAATAGGCAAGATATAAATAATAAGAGTCAACCCACTTTTACTAACTACCCTAAAATAGCTGATGTTGGCAAATGCTCCAACTTTCAGTGGGAGAAACAATAGGAAAAATTCTGTCCTACTTCTGGGAAAATTTGCTCTCTACTTGTGGATTGAGTGAATTACAAAATAATTTTGAACTCATTAGAGGAAAACATATACATAAATTTTAAATGGAAAAACTATACTAACAATTACATTTTGCTTAAGATTTACTGAAAAGCAGTGACTTCCATTGGTTTAAAAGACATTAACTTCTTAAACTACCTTTCCCAATTTCCCTTATTTTCTGTAATGGGGTCAAAATAGTCACAGTCACACAGTTTTAAGACTCAAAGCTCTAGGTTCATCTTCAGTTCTTCCGTATTTTTCTACCGTATCCAATTAGGCATCTAATCCTATTAATTCTTCCTTGACAACATCTTCTTTGTTCCCACTACTACTTCCTCCTGTCCCTTGGGTCCAGATTACTGTAATAATATTCTAACAGATTTCCTATCTCTGCCAGTCTAATCCGACTTCCAAAACCAACACTAGGATAGCTTGATTAAAACATTATTTTCACCTTTTCTTCTCCTGCGCAAAAAGTTACAATGGCTTCCCATTACCTATTGAATAACAAGAAGAAGAAAAGCTAGATTGTATTGAGCACTTACTATGTGCCAGGCACTGTGATAGGAACTGTACAACCACCTCATTAACCTCACTATTATCATCATCATAGGATGAGGAAATGAGGCTCAGGTTAAGTTGCTTGCCCAAGGTCACACAGGTAGTAAGTTACAGAGCCAAGATTTGACTCAGTTCTGTTTGGCTGCAAAGCCTGTGGTCCTCACAACTATGCTATTCTACCCAAACCCTTTAAATTCAATCTCTTCGATTGCTTAAGATCCTATGAATCTGGCACTTCTTACCTCTCCAGTTTTTTCTCATCACTTTGTAGTGCAAATTCTCCTTCAGTCAGGCTAGTCTTACTACCCTCCAACCTGCCATGTTCTTTCTCTCTTCTAAATTTTTGTTCATATGGCTCCTTCTGCTCTCTCACCCTCCCCTCTACCCTCTGCTTGTCCAGATTTTAAACATCTTTTAAAACCTACGTCAAATTTTAACTCACACAAGTCACACCACTTTTTTATTACAGACTATTTATAGTATTTATTGTTTATACTATAGGAATAATATATAAACACTTGATCACACACTGCATCAATAAAAACTGAGCACATGCTTCCAATATATGTATACTGTATTTACATTATGTACATATACTACTGTGTGAATCATAGAATGTATGCAATATAGAATATAGTGTGAATCATAGAATATATGCAAATAGAAATATAAAAAGGATGAGATGAAGCTGAAATGATGTTTTTAGAAATTTTTAAATTTTACTTCATTACAGGTCATTATAAAGAGTGAATATGATTCATAATTCCAGTTATCTTGATGATTACAATTATTTCAGCTAACTCCTTGACAGAGCAGATGAGCTCAGCACTGTGTTTTCAGTCGTGCGTCAGACGTGGAGCCATGCTGTGAGAGGCACAAGTTTCCTGGTTATGTACATGGACTTGCATTACTAATATCTGTCCAAGGTTTCTTGTGGGAATCTCGTTAAGGTGCATGTCCATTTTGTGGAATTTGGTTTAGTTCAAACTAGATAATATGTCCATATGCCCACCTAACTTGGCACAGGTGAACTGCAGTTCATTGTAATTAGCTAAAAGCCAAAAAAAACTCTTCTCTCATAAGATCTTTTGACCCTCTGGGCTGAGTGAGGGCACCTGTGTCAATGTGTGTCTCTAGTATCAGCAAGCTTCCATTTCTTACTGTCTTAGATTTTTTTCTTTGAGGGGGAGGTAATAAAGTTTATTTATTTATTTGATTTTTCAATGGAGGTTCTGGGCATTGAACTCTTGCATATATGGTCAATTGATTTTTGACAAGGATGTCAAGATCATTCAATGGGGAAAGGATAGTCTTTTCAGCAAATAGTGCTTGGAAAACTGAACATGCACTTGCAAAGAATGAAGTTGAACTCTTTCCTTACACCATGTATAAAAATTAACTCAAAATGGATCAAAGGCCTAAACATAAGACCTAAAACTACAAAACTCTGAGAAGAAAACATGGGGCAAAAGCTTCATGATATTGGATTTGGCAATGATTTTTTGGATATGATGCCAAAAGCACAGGTACTACAAAAGAAAAAATAGATAAATTGAACTTCATAAAAATTTTAAACTTTTGTGCATCAAAAGAGAGTGAAAATGCAGGAGGTATAGCTCAGTGATAGAGCATGTACTCAGTGTGCATAAGGTCCTGGGTTCAATCCCCAGCACCTCAACTGAAAAAAAAGAGAAAGAGTGAAAGGACAATCACAGAATTGGAGATGCTTGCAAATCATGTATCTGATAAAGGCTTAATATCCAGAATTTATAAAGAACTCCTACAATTCAACAACAATAATAAAACAAAAAACTCAATTAAAATACACATGGTCCCTGATTTACAATGGTTCTGCTTATAACTTTTTTAACTTTACAATGGTGCAAAAACCATATGCATTCAGTAGAAACCCTACTTTGAATTCTGAATTTTGATATTATCCTGGGCTAGTGATATGCAGTCCAAACTCTCATGATGTTGGGCAATGGCGGTCACTGCAGCAACCAGTCAGCCACACGATCACAAGGGGAAACAACCAATACCCTTACATCCATTATGTCCCCATACAACCAGTCTGTTTTCACTTTCAGGATGGTATGCAATAAAATACATGAGATATTCCATACTTTACTATAAAATAGGCTTTGTATTAGATGATTTTGCCCATCTGTAGGCTAATTTAAGGGTTTATTTCTAGGCTGTCTATTCTGTTCCATTGATCTGTATGTCTGTCCTTATGCCAGTACCACACTGTTTTGATTACTGTAGCTTTGTATAGTGAGTTTTGAAATCAGGTAGTGTGAATCTTCCAAGTTTATTCTTCTTTCTCAAGATTGTCTTTCTATTTCTGAAAAAAAATGCCATTGAGAGTTTGATAGGAGTTGCTTTGCATCTGTAGATCACTTTGGGTAATACTGCCTTCTTAACAATATTAAGTCTTCCAATCCACAAACATAGGATGCCTTTCCATATGTGGCCTATTTTTTTAAGTAACTATTTATGTAAAAAACACTTGCATACTATAAAAAGTTCAAACAGTATAGCAAAGTACAGAGAAAGAACAAATTGCCACAAATCTCACTACTTACGGATAAGTACTGTTAAATTTTAAGTGAACATCCTTTGAGCACCTCTCATTTACAATTTTACATAAATAACATTTGTGGGTTTTTTCCTATTTAATATGTAATACGTGTTTTTCAGTGTCAATGACTAGATTTAAATCATGCTTATACTATCACTTACTTAAGCAAACCCATGCTATAGACATTTAGTTTGTTGGACTGTAAGTAATAATTATTAATATCATAGTATTATTGGTAGGAAAAACAGTATAATATTGACTGAATGTTTGAAGTTTTCTCTTTTGAATGAATAAAGGTACAGAGTTTTTCATCTAATCAGTTCCTGCATATCCAACATACTGTAATGTGTAAGTCACAGATCTTTGCTGTGGTAGGTGCAACAATGAAAAAAATAAAGAACCAGACACTTGTTTAGAGATTTGTTTATACTCTAGGTCTACTATAGCCCAGTGAATAATAAGCAAGATACAGCCAAGTAAAATAAAACTTTGTCAAATCATAGGAACTGGGTATTCAGTTTATTCTCATGTTCTTGCCTTTCAGGAAGAAGGCATGGATTTAGGGAATAGAGAAACAATGTATGAATGGTGAGTAGCGTTTGTTGAATTGCTTATTCTGATCATATTCACTTATATTTTTTCTGAGATGGGCAAACTTCAGTGTTGATGTCTTTTCTTTTGTAGGGAGGTACAAACTGCAATACAGCTAACTCAATCTTGGAAAGAAAGTTTGAACGTGGTATGGTATTAGCACTTCAATTTTGTAGAAAATTTGAAATTTTTACTGATTTTCAATGTTGGTGCTACTTAATTTTGCTGTAATTTCTAGAAATTTAAGCTCTCATTTGGAACTAAAATTATATTTGCTGCATAATTTTTTATTGCTTTTACGAAACAGTTTAAGATTTACCCATAACAAATAACTAATAGTTTGAGGGTGGGGTTGAAAATAAATAGTTGTATGATACAAAACCATCATTCCTATGGACCAATTTCCTCTCTGTCTTGGTGGGGCCAAAAAATGTTCATTTGTGCTGGTTAAATTGCTTCGATGAAAAAACAATAAATGATTTCACTTTCTTCTACATAATTTATGAACTATATATTAGAGTTTTAAACCACAGACAATAGATTTACTGGAAAAATACTGCTTGTAACACATATACTCCATGAACATTTTAACATACAACACTTCATTTAAACATGTTTAGAATTCAGTTACATTCCTTGCTAACATTTTTTTTATGTCCCTGTACATATTATGATTACTTAGTTGTAGTTGAATGATGTTTAGGGTTCTTGTCCATGGACATCTCAGATAATGGCAGAATAAGAATTGAGCTGAAATTTGAGAAGAGATTGTGGTTAGATGTCAATTTCTAGATTTGGGATTTACTAGATATGGAAAGGGGTCATCAGCAGAAGCAATGACATCTTACTTTCTTTTGTACCCTGAGTGCCTTAGATGGGCATCTAGCCTTGATTGAGGAGTAAGTCCTGTAGAATGAGTAGATGACCTCTGAAGCCTGTCACTTTTCGTGTTTTGGTGCTGATACAATTTATAGAGACCATTGGATTCCCTTAACTGACCCAATTCTAATTACTTTAGGTGTTGACAAGGGTGAATGAGTGAATCTGCAAGTGTGTTAAAAGGAGGAAAGAAGCATGTAATATAACTTTACTTGAGTCTTGGAGAAGAAAAGAGCACATTTTAAAATACTGAATTGTGTGGTACTGACTTTGTCGACATAAAATCCATAAATATTTTTCACAGTTGTAGTTACTTTTGCTGTACCATTGTGTCTTACTTCTAACTAAATCTTTTGTGATCCTTTCCTGGGCATAGTATTGTAGTTTTTCTAGAATAAAGCCCAGATCAAAGCCAAAGAGAAAAACTTTAATTTAGGATTTGTGTATATAGCAGGTATTGCTCCATATTGAGTACTCATTCTAGGTATTTGGGGGACACTAGGGAAGCCCCTCATCTAGCGTGTAGCTCTCTTTCCCAAAAGGCAAAAGGTGCCTTTGCTTATTGAAGTGAATACCTGCTTGCCTTAGGATGCTGAGAGCTCCTCACCATGGTACAAGCACTGACTCAGTAAGGATTGCCTTCCCCATGCAGCAGCTACCTCCCCAAGTATTTGATACATGGGTAATGGGTGCTACAATTGTGCACTGCTTTCTACTTATACAGGGTAACAACAATTTAGAGAAAGCACCTTCTCCAGAGTGCTCTAACTTAACTCCAGCATCCTCAGCAACTTCCCTGACTGGGCGAACAGGGAAGGTAAGAAAAGAGTGCCTAAAAGTCTGTGTCCCTTGAAATATTTGTCAAACATTAATATTTCACCACCCGAATCTTTTGTAGGATATATTTTGCTAAAGTGTATCTGATTCTAAATGACAATTTTCTCTTTTTTTTTTCATTCCTTAAACTATTACTTACATATTACAAAAGTCACCAACTTTTAAGTATACAATTTGGTCAGTTTTGATCATTGTGTACAATCCCATAACAGTAACCATAATCAAGATATAGAACAGTTCCCACACTCTGAACAATTTCCTCATGATTTTTTGCCCTTGATCCCCCACCTCCACCTACCATAGAAAACCACTGATCTGCTTTCTGAGAAAAGTGGCAGTTTTAAAATCTCTGTTCCAATTTGGTTTTAGCAATGTTTTTCTCCATCATTACAAGCTTGTGTGAGTTGCACCGGCTTTCTTCCAAGTCCTATTCCCAGTCCTGTGCGACGATTTGCAATGTAAGTTTATGTTGTCTGAAAATACCAAATTGCTTTTACAATATGAATTTTAGAAACTTAAAAGAAATTATAGCTCCAGGTTCTGTAACAACCAAAGAAGTGACGTCTTTTTAGCTAAATTAAAATGTCATTGTTTTGGTTTATCATTTTGCATATTGAAAACAATCAAGTGACTAAGAACATGTGAGAACATATGAACATATGAAGAATCAGTAATTCACTAACCCTGTTTGAACATAGTCTTCCTTTGACCAAGCTTGTTGATAAGGATCAGAGTCAACTCTCCAACGAACTTTTAACAACCATACCTTCTCATTCATTTATGGTTCAAGGCAAGTCACTGCCAAGACTGCAGGTCCTTCTAGCTTCTTTTCCTCACAACCTGGGAAAATCCTGAATCCTTATAAATTACAAGACAGTCTGCTGTCCTAAGGCATTTTTGTTTCTAACCTAGATTTAGATAAAAGCAATGAAATGATGTGATGTGAGATACTACATAGAGTCCTCTTTTAGTGTATATCCTTTAATCTATTTTAATGAAATAGTTACAGGTGATCTTGTTTTCTTGTCATGATTGTGATAATTTTATTTTAGAAGTCAAAGTCCCATCAACATTCTTAGATCAAGCATCCTTGGACCATTAAAAAGAAAAGGTATTTTTATCTACTTACAGAAGTAAATCTAACTTTGAATTATTTTTGTAAAATAGCATATAAAATCAAGGGTTATACAAAAATTCATTTTAAAGGATTTACTTATTTAAAATATATTTGATAAGTTACTAGAGACGTTTCATTTTAAATGAAACTGTATGTAAAGACATTTTGAAAGCTATAAAGTACCTTATATAAATTTGAATTGAGACATTTAATTCCAGTTTAGTCAACTATTATGATTTTCATTGTGTAAGTATAATTCACCAAGCTGGCTGCCTTAAATACTTTCTGAAACAAGGTAGGGAATGAACAAATAAATAGAATGAGTCAGTCATCAAGTAGTCTGCTGAATCTCAACCCCTGCCCTGCCCCCCCACCACATGTACACGTTGATATCCTATGAATCAGTTGACACAAATTAGGCCCACTTTCAACCCTAAAAATATCTGCTAAGGTGTATGTTCTTTGATGTTTCACCTGTTTGTGGGGCTTACTTTTGGTTCAATATATGGAAAATGTCCCACCCACTCAGTAATAAAAGGGCAGTGAAAAGAATAGAGGTGTTTTCTTTTATTCAACTCCCAGAGTCCTGGATCCCATTTCTCAACCCTGCCTCACTAAGCTACGCGCTTCTTCCTTTTTTGTTAATACCACTACTGAAGTATAGGCTTAGTACAAAGTTTAACTATAATAGGGAGGGAAAATGGATAAATAGCAAAGGAGATTAGACTTTAAAAATGTAAAAATTTGTAAAAAAAAACCATTAGAATGGGAATGAAGAAGAAGAAATGGGAGGGGAAGGGGGCGAGGTAGAAGAAGGAAAGCAAAACTGTAGGGAAAGACATTGAAATTTACCACAGTGTTCCACGCATCTGGCATTCATTAACAGCAGTCTTCCTAATAACACGCCTGACTCAGCATGTACTTATACTCCAAGGCTAAGACTAGATCAGTTTAGAAAACACCCTTTTGCAAATTAAGCACATTGTTTTATGATGATGGATCAGTGACCTAGTTTAGAGGTCTTCTTCCTGTGCTGTAGAGTTTGGGCTAATGTTGAAAAAACATTCAAATATATTCACTGTTTGAGAGCCATTAGGAAGTTGGAAGTCATTTGAGTATTTAATATAAAATATGCTTAAATTGAAGAGCATGTTTTACTAAATTAAGATATTTCATCTTTTAAGACATTGACACAGAATGTTTTATGACATTGAAAATACCTGGAATTTTCTTAGAATTTATCATTTTAAAAATTATTTTTGTATTTCAATTTTGACATAATAGACTCAGTTTCTGTCCAGTGTTTTGGTTGATGTGGCATGTCCCACACAAGCTCTTGGACCTGGTGTTCAGCTGCTCTAGAGGTTGACTGCCTCATTTCTTTGAGGTGTCCCTAAAAACTCGGAAGCAAATTTTGTGTATACCACATGATCTATATATTTTAAGTCAGACCCTTCCAAACATAGACTATACAAATTTGGTCAAAATTCACCTGACTTTTCAGATGCAGTAGCAGATTAAACAGAAATTTAATTTTATTTATATATTTTGGAATACGAATATTTATTTGGGATACAACAAACTACGTTCTATTTGGAGCCCATTAATACAAGTGAAAGGTGGGGACAGACAGTATTAAAAAATCAAAAAGAGATCCTGAGGAGGAAAAACAAAAATGAACGCGGACTCTGTAAAGTAGAGAGAGTGTGAGATAAGGGTTAGAGTCTCCAAGCATTTGAAGGCATAGCTTACAGTGCTAAGTAGCAGTTACTTCCGTTAGGAATAAGCAAGAACAAGTAAAGCTTCAAGTGGGAATTCTGAGAAATCTATAGAAATTGGGCAGCTATAAATATTGTTTTATAAGTAATCATGATTTTAGCAAAGAAAGTTAATTTTCTTCACTGAGGAATTTGTTTTGATTTGTCTTGTTTTTAATTCAAATCAAAGAGGAGAGAGGAGTACTTTTGCCATAATGGTGTAAGTGTCTCTGTCATGTGGCAGAATACTCAGACCTCTTTTGAGCTTTATGAGCCACGGTTATACTCCTAAGGAAGGTCTGTGAAATCTCCATTCCTAGTGATATTTTTAATGAGTAGGTAGCCTTAGCATGTTATCACTCAAATATATTCCACCCTAGAAGTTATGGGCTTGAACGGAAGTTTTTCTCACATTCAGACTTGGTTATCACATGAATGTGTAACATTTACTTCAAACAAATGCCATTTTTTGAGATTAAATGCTTTTCCCTAATCTTTAAAATATTTTGTTAATTATATACTATAAAGGACTCTATCTATTTAGTTCATTGTGTGTATTTAGCAAAGTAAGGATAGCAATAACTTAAAGTTTTAAAATAAGGAATGAGGGGAGAGGGTGTAGCTCAGTGATACAGTCTGTGCTTAGCATGCAGGAGGTCCTGGGTTCAATCCCCAGTACCTCCACTTAAAAAATAAATAAACGTAATTACCTCTTCCCCGCCCCCCAATTTTTTTAAATCAAACAAAAATAATGTAAGAAATGAGATTAAATTCTGGTACATCCTTGCTGCATAGCTATCTATATAAACTCATGATGTAGAATTTAGTTAATAATATGAGAAAAAGATCATTCAAAACAAAAAGTAGACGACATACTGTTATTAGATACAGTACAAACCCAATTTTGTATAAAAACCAATCACATATACACATACATATTCAGGAATTACTGAAAGTGGTTATCTCTGGGTCATGGTGATGTAAAATTTTTTCCTTTTTGTTTTTCTGTATTTTATAAATTATTTGCAATGAACAAGTTTTACTTTTGCAATTAAAAGTGTAATAAGCACATTAGATAAAATATATCTACCTTGATCTGCATTTTTGTCATAGGTGAAATGGTACTTGAACATCAGCCAAAGAGATTCTTCCAAGACACAACCAACGTGTTTTCTTCTGGTACTACTCACATGTCTGATAGTAATATGTGGTGAGTATTAACATGAGATTTTAAGCATTCATTGGCCACTTTTTACTTGGTTTTTAAGTCTACTTTGGCTATTGTATATATTCAGAAAGATGGTATATTATTAAATATTTTTAGAAGTTATAAAACTAACATCCCAAATGGATACTATTAACTTTAGTTCTTCTCCCTAACATTTATGTGTGACATTAATATACGGTAGACACATTTTTTAAAACAGTTTTTATTGAGTTATAGTCATTTTACAATGTTGTGTCAAATTCCAGTGTAGAGCACAATTTTTCAGTTATACATGAACATACATACATTCATTGTCACATTCTCTTTCGCTGTGAGCCACCAAACACATTTTTAAAAGTGGGGTTTTGGCATTAGATTAAGAGATATTAGAGAAATACATAAAAATGCAAACTTGGGGGAAAAAAGTCATTTTCTGCTCATCTTTTCTACCTTGGATTTTTGTGTGCTTTGTTAGGCTAAGCACATTATGGAAAAGTGCTAAGAAAGCATGTTTTAATAATCAAAATGGGAGATACAGTAAATGGATTTTTATTTATTGTTACTGTTGGGTTTGTTTTACTGCTCTTATGAAACTGCTCTTATAACCAGTGCCAGATCTTTGCTTCACTATTTTGCATTCATTTGTAGACAAAGCAGAGTGCACAGAGATCTCTTGAATTCTGTTATCAATGAGTGTCATTTTCTTTTCCTACTCTATCTGCAGACACTCTTGATGGAAACAACAGAAGTGCAGGATCTTCTCATAATTCACCAGCTAAAATCAGCACTGTCGCAAACTCTCATGTGCTGCCATCTGATTCTAGTTCTCTCTTTACTCTAGCAGATGAATTTCCACCTAAGTGATTCACTCCCATCCCAAGAATTTCTCACCAGTGGAGAAACACACATGTACTTGCTTGCTTGATCACACACACACACACACACACATTAGAGCATTAACGGAATTGTATGTGGTATAATGTAGACTATTTCTTATTTATCTTTTTTATCAATTTCCTAAAATTCTATTTATCTATAGAAATTGAATGTCTAATTCCTACATATGCTCTTAAAAGCAATGTAGTAATACTTTTCAAAGATGTTTTCCAAATAAGAACTATGTTGAAAGTACAACCATACATCTTCAAGATGCTAATGTATAGAGTCATGCTGTACCTTGACTTTTTAAAAAAAATACTTGAGAGCTCTATTAATGTGAATAAAAATTAATAAATAAAGTTATACCTTCTAATGAAATATAATTGTTCCATTAATCAATAGGTAAAATAATTTTTTAAATTATATACTAAAAATCTATGCTAGTTTTTAATATTTTCAGTAATTACTAGTTTCCGTTTGGTAAGGAAAAATCACCTATCAAAAGCAGATTTTAAAACTAAGCTAGTTATACCATACTGATCCAAGGATTGCCAATTTTTCACATGAATCCTTGGATTGTTTAATTTGTTGGGAAGGAATAGATAGGGGAAGCAAGATGAATGAAAGCTAATTGAATAGCAAGAAAATAATATGTAATTGGGGCTTCATTCAATTTGTACTTAACCTGATTATCCCTGATCAATTTTGCATTCTAATTAAGTGTGGAAAAAAGACAATGTGGATAAATTGTGGTCTTTTACATTTCTATGAATTACCTTTTGTTCATCATCATGACTACTGATTTGATTAAATACAGGCTTAATATGTTAGGGCTTTTCTGCAAGAATCATGTGCTTCCAGTTGTTCCCTAAAGGCTATAAATGTTTGTTTAAAACCCAATTTTCTATTCAAAAGTCTTAAGGATTTTTTAAATAGGAAATATCATCTGTTAAAAATTTTAAATCGAAAGTAAGTGCTTTATGTAAGTGGGAGAAGTATTAGCGTTTTGAAAAATAGAAATGTATCCTCATGAAATGGAGAGATGGTTTAAATTTCCTCAGCTAATGAAGGTAGGAATGGTAATCTAAAATGCTGATTAAAAGTTTTTCCTTGGCATTGGAAAGAATCAGAATGATGGAAATCTGATGTAGGTATACCCCACATGGGAAAAAGCCTGGCACCAAGAATTTTTTGACAATGGCCCTAATGGAATTGATTAGAATGGAGATATGTGTGTGTGTGTGTGTGTGTGTGTGTGTGTGTGTGAAGACTCTATTGACCTATGAATAAATGAAACTTAATATTTATGAGAGGACTGGGTTCATGATGGTCTCCTGAAACTTGGATAGGATTCCTATAGACTGGCTTACGATAAGTGAACTATCAGTATTGCCCTTGTTACTTAGCTTCTTTATTTGCGAGACTTTAGTGGACCAGTTTTGAACTTATAAAGGGGCCCTCATGGAATGGGGTGGGATTGCAGTGATGTCTGTCACTGGAGAGAGGAGAGAGGAGGCTTTACTGAAATTATAGATCATTGACAGACAAAAAGGTCCTCATGCACTATTGACCCTTCAGGAAAAAAAAAGTTCAGAATGACCAAGTGCAAAGACTAAGGATGGAGAAAGTGAATAATGGGAGTGAGACTACTACTCAGTTGTGTGAGGAACTTTCATCAGTAAATCTTGGTAATCTCTACTATCTCATCTCAATATACTTCTCAACTCAGGAAATTTCTTTCACTGTATTTGGTTAGTTTCTTATTGTTTTAGTTGAATTCTAGGATGCTACAATTCAGAAAATTTCTTTCACTCCACTTGGTTAGTTTTTATTGTTTTAGTTGACTCCTAGGATGCTACAACTCACTATAATATGCTCAGAATGGAGCATTTTGTGGTTGGTTTTCCATACTGTTACCTTTTGAGCTTTTGTATTCAGAGGATCCATTTCTTAAGTGATTTTACATTTAATTTTCAGGCCAAAGCAGTTCTAACTTTTACATGAGATATTTTGTGGTTGATTTTTTAACATTATGGTAAGACTATGTTTTGTCATCCTAAACGTGCCAAGGAATTGTCATGTCAGTTTTCCATAGGGAAGGACATGTATTCATTTCCTAGGACTGCCATAACAGAGTGCCACAAACTGGGTAGTCCAAAACGATAGAAATGGATTATCTCATAGATCTGGAGACCACAAGTCTGAGAACAAGGTATCAGCAGAGTTGGTTCCTTCTGGAGGCTTTAAGGGAGAATCTGTTAATATCTTTCTGCTAGCTTCTGGTAGTTGCCAGAAATCCTTGCCTTGCAGACATATCACTCCAGTCTCTGTCTCCGTCATCACCTGGGGTTCTCCCTGTGACCCTGTGTCTTCCTATGGCCTTAAAAGCTACCAGTCATTGTAGTTAGGGCTCACCCTAATCCAGTTGTGACCTCAACTTGATTGCATCTGTAAATATCCTACTTATCTTATCCTATTCGAATAAGGTCACTTTCACAGGTGCTAGAGGTAAGAACTTCCACATGGTCTTTTGGGGGACTCTATTTCAACTCACAACAGGATAATTTTGCAATTTTTGATTGTTTCATTTTCCTTAAATTAGTTTTTAAAATCATTTATTTTCTAACTCATCTTTTAAAAATATGAGAACAAGAGGTGACCATATTGTACATAAGCATTTTTTTAACATTTTTTATTGAGTTATAGTCATTTTACAATGTTGTGTCAAATTCCAGTGTAGAGCACAATTTTTCAGTTATACATGAACATACATATATTCATTGTCACATTTTTTTTTGCTGTGAGCTATCACAAGATCTTGTATATATTTCCCTGTGCTATACAGTATAACCTTGTTTGTCTATTCTGCATATGCCTGTCAATATCTGCAAATTTTGAATTCCCAGTCTTTCCCTTCCCACCCCCCTCCCCCTTGGCAACCACAAGTTTGTATTCTATGTCTATGAGTCTTTTTCTGTTTTGTATTTATGTTTTCTTTTTTTTAGATTCCACATATGAGCGATCTCATATGGTATTTTTCTTTCTCTTTTTAGCTTACTTCACTTAGCATGACATCCTCCAGGGACATCCATGTAGCTGCAAATGGCATTATGTTGTCATTTTTATGGCTGAATAGTATTCCATTGTATAAATATACCACTTCTTTATCTAGTCATCTGTTGATGGCCATTTAGGCTCTTTCCATGTCTTGGCTATTGTAAATAGGGCTGCTATGAACATTGGGGGTCTTTTTGAAGTAGGGTTCCTTCTGGATATATGCCCAGGAGCATGATGACTGGATCATATGGTAAGTCTATTCCTAGTATTTTGAGGAATCTCTATACTGTTTTCCACAGTGGCTGTACCAAACTGCATTCCCACCAGCAGTGTAGGAGCGTTCCCTTTTCTCCACAGCCTATCCAGCATTTGTCATTTGTGTATTTTTGAATGATGGCCATTCTGACAAGAATAAACAAGTGGGACCTAATTAAACTTACAAGCTTCTGCACAGCAAATGAAACCATAAGTAAAACAAAACGACAACCTATGGAATGGGAGAAAATTTTTGCAAACGATGAAACCGACAAAGGCTTGATCTCCAGAATATATAAGCAGCTCATATGACTTAATAAGAAAAAAACAAACAACCCAATCCAAAAATGGGCAAAAGACCTAAACAAGCAATTCTCCAAGGAAGAAATACAAATGATCAATAGGCACATGAAAAAATGCTTAATATCACTAATTATCAGAGAAATGCAAATCAAAACGACAATGTACTTGCATGTCTTCTTCTTATACGTTATAAACATATAAATATATATTATAAATGTATATATGTGTACATATATGCTAGTTTTCACATTGTCAATGAGAGGATACACGAGAGTGGAAATATGTTTTTCAAATATTTTGAAAGCATCATTTTTGTCTTAAATATGCGTTCATGTTCAATCGAGTATTTCTATTTTACTTACAACCTTATAAAAGAACAGCACTCCAAATTCATCCTAACATGAAAACTCAGTGCAGTAATAGGTTAGATTCGGCAAAAAAAAAAAAATAATAATAGGTTAGATTCTCGGATCATGAAAAAAATCTTACAATTTATAATGACTAAATCA